ATTAATAGCATGTGACTTGTTCATGCTTTTTGTTTGTTTGCTTATTTTTGTTTTATACTTCCTGCCCATCTCTGCCTTCTACCTAGTCTATTTAGGCTATTTACATTTACAGTAATTATTGATGTGTTAGAACTTTTATCTGCCATTTTATAATTTGTTTTCTTTCTGTCCTCTCTTTCCATCCCTGCTTTTCTTCTTTTGCTTTCCTCTTTGTTATTTGAATTTTTGTGTGGATTCCACCTGGCTGATATAGGTACAGTATTTTTTAGTTTATCACTTGTACAGTTTTCATACTTGTTGTTCTGAGAGTTAAAATACACAAAAGTAACAGCCTTATCTACTGGAAATCAGCATTTCATCTCTTCAAGTGAAGTATGGACAACCTACTTCTGTTTAGGTCATTTTACCTTCTCTATCATTAAATATCACTTTCTTGAGTATAAAATGATTTTATAATTTTTATTTCAATCATTAAATATGATTTATAAAACAAATGAGGAGAAAGACATTCTATCATATATTCATATTTCTATTTGATTGTTTCTTCTTGTTTTTTGATGCTACGGGATTCTTTTATCATTTTGTTTCTCTTTATAGAATTTCCTTTAGCCAATTTTTAAGGGTAGTTCCTGCTATTAATAGCATCTTCTAGTTTTCCTTCATCTGGTATCTTTACTCTCCATTCATTCCCGAAGGATAGTTTTACCAGTTCTACAATTATCACTTGATTTTTTTTCAACACTTAAAAATGTACCATCTCCTTGTAGCCTTTGTGGCTTCAGGTAAGAAATTCACTATCATTTGAATTGATATTCCTAGTGTTGACATTTTGTATTAGAAGTTCAGCATTGGTTATATAGTAACGTAAATACTATGACATATAAATCTTTCATTTTAACTCTTATCCATGAATTTCAAATATAGATTATAGCTATGTAACAATTAATGTGATCAATCAGGCGCTAATAAGTGCCAATAAAAAGTGAGATTATGGCCATGACTGCAAACCTTGTAATTATATTTTGTTTTATTCTTGAAATGTTTCCTTAACCTCAGAATAATTGGGTAAAATGGTAAAGAAAAAAAGTTCAAATTGATTTTCCCAGTGTGTGTGAATATCATTTTTTAAAATTAAAATATAGACAAACTTCTAAAATGCCCCTCACTTATCCCCCCTTTTGGTATTCACAGCCTTGTCTAATTCCCTTCCTCTCAGTGGGGGCTGGCCCTGTGACCTGCTTCTAATGAATATAATGTTATAAAAGTGGTAAGATGTGACTTCTGAAATCAGGTTATGAAAGAATGAGGTTTCCATGTTGCTAGCATTCTTTCTATTGCCTTTTCTCTTGGTCACTGATGAATCCAAGAGTCATGTTATAAGCAGTTGTTTGGAGAGGCCCACGTGGCAAGGAACTGAGGAAGGCTTCTGGCCACCAGCTCCCAGAAACTAAATCCTGCCCACAACCATTTGTGGAAGCTTGGCAGCAGATCTACCCCATGTTGAGTCTTCAGTCCACTGCAGCTCTGGCTGACACCTTCCCTGAAGCCTATGAGAGAGACCCAGGGCCAGAGGATTCAATTAAGCCACACCTGTATTCCACAGAAATGATATTGCTGCATAAAAAATTACACCAAAATTTAGTTTCTTAGAACACTATATTTATTACCTCACAGTTTCTGCGTCTGCAGTCTATTAAAAGAATGTGAATGGTCAGAAAAATGCATTTTAATCTCTTGATATTTAGAAAATAAAAACAAACAAGAGAGAAATATTCTAGGTTTTCATTAGTATATGTTAACCCTCTAAAGAGGTGACAGTAACAGGAAATATAAATTGACGTGAAATGGTGCCTTTAACAATTTAAAATTAGAAAATGAGAACACTGTACAGATTCATTTTCCAAAAGTGCTTTTCAAGAGCACATGACTACTTATAGGTACAAAATACTTGGATTTTGTACTTGGATTTTATACAAGCAGAATTACTGCATTTAATTCATTGCATGATCTTCCGCTGAAGGGTATGTAAAGATGAACATGTTCATTTTTACATCTTGAAGTTATAATAACTTATTGAATGTTTATTTATTTATTTATCATCATTTTTATTTTTTGAGTCTTGCTGTGTTGCTTAGGCTGAAGTACAGTGGAGTAATCTCAGTTCCCTGCAACTTCTGCCTCCCTGGTTCAAGTGATTCTCCTGCCTTAGCCTCCTGAGTAGCTGGGGCTACAGGCACGTACCACATGCCCGACTAATTTTTATATTTTTAGTAGAGACGGAGTTTCGCTATGTTGGCCAGGCCGGTCTCCAACTCCTGGCTTCAAATGATCCGCCCACCTCGGCCTCCTAAAACGCGGGCATTACAGACCGCACCTGGCCTAATTTACTGAAAAATATTTTTAAACCTCAAACGCAAATATTGTTTTACTTTGGAAAAATGGAACTGCCAATGTATTATTTAGCTTTTTCTTTCCCATTTTTTGAGTGCCAAATACAATAGCATGAGAAAAGCTTTCTATTCAAATAGCACCTTAAGTTCAGTAGCGCTTACTCTGAACACATAAAGTGGCATTAAAATCTTGAAGCACATCAGTTTCATCAGTTTCATTTACTATGAGAATAAATCATTTTAGTGCCTCTCAATATATTTTGTAATATTTACCTTTATATAAGAGTAACTTCTGTAAATCAAATAACAGATAAACTGAACTGCTTGGCATCTAACAATGAAACTTGTGGACAGCAAGAAAGAGAGAAAGATAAAAGAGAAAACTAGTTCAACCATTGTGAAAGACAGTGTGGTGATTCCTCAAGGATCTAGAACTAGAAACACCATTTGACCTAGCCATCCCATTACTGGGTATATACCCAAAGGATTATAAATCATGCTGCTATAAAGACACGTGCATGTGTATGTTTATTGCGGTACTATTCACAATAGCAAAGACTTGGAACCAACCCAAATGCCCATCAATGACAGACTGGATTAAGAAAGTATGGCACATATACACCATAGAATACTATGCAGTCATAAAAAGGATGAGTTCATGTCCTTTGTAGGGACATGGATACAGCTGGAAACCATCATTCTCAGAAAACCAAACACCGCGTGTTCTCGCTCATAGGTGGGAACTGAACAATGAGATCACTTGGACACATGAAGAAGAACCTCACACACCGGGGCCTGTTGTGGGGTGTGGGGAGGGGGGAGGGATAACATTAGGAGATATACCTAATGTAAATGATGAGTTAATGGGTGCAGCACACCAATATGGCACATGTATACGTATGTAACAAACCTGCACGTTGTGCACGTGTACCCTAGAACATAAAGTATAATGAAAAAAAGAAAAAGAGAGAGAGAAATTACCAGGAATTTTCCTGAGTATTTCACATATATTAACCTATTTCCTTCTTACCAGAATCCAAGAGGTACATATATATTTGTCTCTCTATGCCTTTCCAGTTTTTATTTATGGAGTGCATGTGTGAGTGTGTGATAGTGTGTACCTGTAAGATAAAGACATTTTTCAGATCAGCAAAGATCTATTTTAATCATTGCTATTATTACACATCATTTTTTAAATTGTAATTTCATGGAGACTTTGACTTAACAGAAAACATTTCCAAATACTTGTAATATGTCAGTCTGGCTATTCTGTACTATTCAAGTAACAACTTGTGCACATTTCAGTATTTTTATTTTTCTCCCTATATTTTATCCAATGAAATGTATTTTAGGAATGTAATTGAAAATCACAGGTTTTAGCTGAAACCATTCCCCTTGAGAACTGGAACAAGATAAGGATGCCCACTCTCACCACTACTATTCAACCTAGTACTGGAAGTCCTGGCAGGAACGATCAGGCAACAGAAAGAAATAAAAGGCATCCAAATTGAAAAAGAAGTCAAACTATCTCTCTTCACTAACGGTATGATTCTATAATTAGAAAACCCTAAAGACTTTTCCAAAAGGCTCAGAATAGAAAACTCAGAAAAATAACCACACACCTACAACCATCCAATCTATGAAAAAGCCAACAAAAACAAGCAATGGGAAGCGGCCTCCTCATGCAGTACATGTTGCTGGGATAGCTGGCTAGCCATATGCAGAGAATGAAACTGGACCCTTGCTTTTTACTATACACAAACACTAACTCAAGAAGAATTAAAGGTGTAAATGTAAGCCCTCAAACTATAAAATTCTGAAAAGAATTTTATAAAATAAAAGAATTTCTATAAAAGAAAGGAAAACCTAGGGAATACCCTTCTTGACATCAGCCTTGGCAAATAATTTTTGGCTAAGTCTCCCAAAGCAATTGCAAAAGAAAAACCCTAAAACTGACAAGTGGGACCTAAGTAAATTAAAGAGCTTTTGCACAGCAAAAGAACCTATCAACAGAGTAAACAGACAGCCGGCAGAATGGGAAAAATTATTCACAAACTATGCATCCAGCAAAGGTCTAATATCTAGAATGCTTAAGGAACTTAAATCAACAGGCAGAAAACAAATGGCCCCATTAAAAAGTGGGCGAAGGACATGAACATACATTTCACAAAGAAGACACACAAGAAGCCAACAAACATGTGAAATGACGCTCATTATCACTGACCATCAGGATATTACAAATCGAAACCACAATGAGATACTATCTCACACCAGTTAGAATGGCCATTATTAAAAAGCCCAAAAGCAACGGACGCTGGTGAGGCTGCAGAGTTAAAGGAATGCTCATACACTGTTGCTGGGGGTGTAAATTACTTCAGTCACCATGCAAAGCAATTCGGAGATTTGCTAAAGAACTTAAAACAAGGATACCATTCAACAGAGCAATCAATCCCATTACTGGGTATATACCCAAAGGAAAATAGATCATGAAGCCAAAAAGACATGTGCCCTCATAGGCTTATCACTGCTTTTCACAATAGCAAAGACATGGAATCAACCTAGGTATCCATCAGTGGTAGACTGGATAAAGAAAGGTGGCACTTAAGTTACCTGATGGAAAGTCTTGACTGCAAGTTGTCCTGATTCTTGGAATTCTGAATTCTAAGATGCACCAACAAAACAACAAAAGAAAAAAGCAATGAAAGCGCAGATTTATTGAAGCAAACATACACTCTAGAGACAGGGAGCGGGCTCAAGAAAGTGGCTCAAGAGTCCCGATTGCAATGTTCTTTAGTTTTTACTAAGCTAAAAGAATTTGGTAACACCTACATGTACCCTTTAGAGGCCTCCAATTGGTTACAACCTATGCGAATGAAGCATTGGCCCATGACTAATGAGAGGCTGAAGTGGAGGCTTGGCCCACAACCAATCAGAGGCTGAAATGGACCCTGCCCCCGCCACCAATCAAAGGCTGAAGTGAAGGCGTGGCCCCAGACCAATGAGAGGTACTTCCCATTTGTGCTATAGGGGAGTGCAGGGGGTTTGTAGTGGTAGATGCCTCTGGTTCCTTGTCACTTAGGCATGGAGAGGTGAGGTTTTCTTTTTGATTCAATTCCAAGAAGTCAGCCTCAGGTTGGCCTTAGGCTCCCTGTCTCCAGACCCTATTCTCCTGCCTCACATATATATCATAAAATACTACACAACCATAGAAAGAATGAAATATTGTCCTTTGCAGCAACATGGATGGAGCCGGAGGCCATAATCCTAAGCTAATTAATGCAAGAACAGAAAACCAAATACCGCATGTCCTCACTTTTAAGTGGGAGCTAAACATTGAGTATGCATGGACGTAAAAATGGAAACAATAGACATTGTGGACTACTGGGAGGAGGAGAGCTGAAAAACTACCTATTAGGTACTATACTCTCTACCTGGGTGCAATATACCCATGTAAAAACCTGCACATGTATCCTGCATATTTAAAAATAGATGTTTTAAAAAACAAAAATAATAATACTGTTAAATAATCACAGTTTTTAAATGCCCAATTTCAAATTAAAACACCAAATTGACATGTTAAACATTTATTCGATTCTACAATATTTCAAGTTTTTTTCTTTCTTTTTTTGAAATGGAGTCTCGCTATGTTGCCCAGGCTGGAGTGCAGTGGCGCAATCTCAGCTCACTGCAACCTATGTCTCCCGAGTTCAAGTGATTCTCCTGCTTCAACATCCTGAGTACCTGGGACTACAGGCGTGCCCCACTGTGACCAGCCAATTTTTGCATTTTTAGTAGAGACAAGTATTCACTATGTTAGCCAGGCTGGCCTCGAACTCCTGACCTCGTGATCCACCTGCCTTGGGTGCCCAAACTGCTGGGATTAAAGGAGTGAGCCACCATGCCCAGCCAATATTTCAGCTTTAAACAATTAAAAAACACAGTTCTCAGAAAACTGCAGTAGTTTTCATAATTTTTAGAAAGTATTCCAATTTATAATTTTACAAGCTTCTAGAACAAAGTGATATTTGACCTAGCACATTTAGCAAATTCTTTATACTCATCATATCCCAAATAGAAGAATACAAATCTTGAAACATTTTTGACATTGAAACTCTTGACTCTTTGCTAAGGGAGTTTTGAAATTATTTTGGAATATTTTATTTTATTTTTCTCTACAATTATATTAAATGGTGTATATATAGTTTATTCAAAATGGTTATTACATGTTTTAAAATTGAAAGAAACTTGTTTCAGTTACTAATTAACGTCTACTGATTTTCTCTCCAGAAAATATATATATGTGTGTGCGTAAATATATATTTTCAATATTATTATATTATGTTACTATTTTATAACATATAATTTTAATTATTCATGATATATTTTATTATTTA